CATGTACATAAATATTGTCAAAAGGCGTTGTTGATTTACAGGCAAATTTTCTACACCTTGTAATGTTTTATTTGTGTTTAGTCTTAAGAATTAACCTTTATTAAAAAGAGTCAGATAATCAAGTATATGCCTTTATCTTTGTTTATATCAATCATTCAGCGATACAATCAAGTGTATAAAGAATTTGTCTTAGAATTAAAGACAATTGTTGTACATTTAATTGCAATGTGATTTTGAATGAAATATGTGGAGATAACGAACAGTATTCAAGCTCAAAAGTCCATCAAACAATACAAAATAGGAGCAGAGCAAACACAGACCTCCAAAACATCAGAGGTGGGATCAGGTGCCATGGAGGAGTGAGCATCCCCTGCCGAATGGTCACAACCGCCGTGTGCTTCTTTGTCATACCTTTGTTCCGTTTTATTAGCACGTTTTTTTACATTCGATTCTGACTAATCTAACTAGGGAACTAAGAGAAGAACCAATACGTTGGTATCTTACTAAAGTTTTTTTTAAATTAATTTCCTCTCAATCATCTGCTGAAATGCTGTCTCTTAACATCTGAATCGCATAAGGGTAAATTCCCAGACTACTGTCATAACTGTTTTTTCCCAATGTTTTACTCATACCGTATCTAAATTTGTTAAAAATGTTTTAACAAATAATTCAAATTACGTGTTTAAAACATTTTGAAAATATTATATGTTTTTTCAATCTTATTTAGTGCAAAATATCGTTGGTGATTCTGAAACGTATACATTACAATTGAATAATGCCATTTTTCATATCTTCTGTAAAGTGGAGGAAAGAAAACATAGACGTTTTAAGGAGGTTATATCCTGCCATTAAAAATAATGAGAATTTTTTTATCAAGTATATCTTTTAGAATTAATACACATAGCATTAATAAAAATAAAAACAAAAAATGGAGGTCAATGCGCTTCTTTTGCCGCTACAGAGCATTTAGTTTGACTTTTTGCACTGTAAATATGACTTACATAGAAATCAATCTTTAAAGTTTTTCCTCCAATATTTTTTGTTCAAATAAACTAGGGAACAAACACAGTCTTATTTCATCTTAGATAGACACATTAATATGACAATGAAGAAATTTTTAAATTACTCTGCATGTTCAATTATTTGACCTTTTTACACTAAACATTTTCTTTTTTTTCTGCTTTAAAAATTTAACAAGCAAAAAAAAAAAAAAAAAAAAAAAAAAAATTGAAAGTAATACCACTGTACTGAATTCAAGAAGAATGGTTATCGTATATATTCAGAAAAGAAAATTGAAAGTGGGGGTCAGTGATTTTAATTTTTAAATATTACTAAATAAGTGCTAATTTTAAGCTAAAATAAGGACTATTTTTTTCCTTCATTTTCACAATATATTTGCTATATTTATCAAATATAATGATAGAATTTCATGGCAGTTTATTAAAAAGATAGCTAAGGACAGGTGGGCGCTCTGCATTTAAAAACAAGAATCCAAAATTAACATACTTTAAATATTTCGAAAGAGAAAAATGAACATTTTCTTCTAAAAAAACGTTTGCTACAAAATATAGTTCCTCACTTAATGCTTTGGTATTGAATTTAGTTTTAACTGAATATAGTTAATTTGACTTTGTGGAATCCGCATTTATTGTAAGAAAAAAAACATTATGCAGGATGTTTGAAATAAAGCTTAAGATAAAAATCTGCTCAAAGGCTCATCGTTTCATACTCCAAATTGAAATAATGGCTTAAATTAATATGTTCCTTCGTGGAAAAGATATCAATACAGAAAATAATACTAACACATCGAAAACGGCAAAACAACATGGCATTGTAAAACTTCACATAGCGGCAATTACTACAGCAGTCGATTTTTTTTAAATTTTTTTTTTGTAAATAGGGAAAACCCAAGATTAAGCACTGAAAAAGCTGGAGGAAGCAGGAAATATCCAAAAACCGAGTCGTACATATACATGTGTGTTATAGGCACAAGCGGTGTTCGAATGAGATTCTACATCAGACGAGACCATTTTATCGGATAATCTGCAAAACTGATCAAAATCGTAAATGAGTGAGTAACTTCCGGGTAAGAGATAAAGGCCATTCACAGTAGCACATCTTACATCAGCATATCTATGCATTAAAATACTTCAACATTGACAACTAAAATTTTGCTGCTAGAACTAAAGAAAGAAAAATAAATTTTAAGTGATGAATAACCGTTTTTAATGATTGGATAGAAGGAGTATTCTTAAGAAAGTCATGAAGCTATGATTTTGACATTACATTGTGGTCAAGTGTGTTCCAGGTTAAAAAAAATTCTCATTTAAAAGTTAAGTAACAGGGATTCTTTTAAATGATATGAAAGGAAACTTCATAATTCAACAATACAATATATGTATATGGCGATAACGAACCGTATCTTTTAAAAACCCAGAATAAAACAACATAGGAGCAGAAAAAACACGAACCTCCGAAACATAATAGGTGGGATCAGGTGTCATAGAGGAGTGGGGACCCCCTGCCGACGGGTTACAAAGTAGGCTTTGAATAAATTCTTATTCAAGAAATATTAAAACTGTTCTGCTAATAAAGGAGCACAATTAATGCCCTTTAATTAACGAGCAGTTTATTAGAAGATATGGTCTTCATGGAACATATGAAGACTGTCAACGTTGAACTCATGCACCTGTATTTTTTCAAATTCAAAAAGTGTGATGAAAATGAGTTATTGTAAAGGCAAGGTAAAATAAAAAGATGGTAAGTTCCTGTAATTTAAGAATTTTAAGGTTGATTACTTCTTTCACTTCATTTTCAACATAATTAACATTATTGATAGTAATGCTCCCACTGTGGCTTATACAGTTGGAAGAAGAAGACCTCTCATTATGGCTTTGTTTTAGAGACTTAGCCTATTGATAGTGTGGGGTTTGTATATAGGTTAAAACTGAAAAGTTTCAAAGAAAAATTTGGAGATAATTTTTCTATTTTATATTTAAGTTGGAAAAAGTTTTATTTAGGTGAATCAGCTTTGATAAATTTGATTTTTTTTTTCATCTAAATTGAAATATTTAGATAAGTGTTGCAGATTGTATGCTGTATAGCACAACATTTGTGAAAGTAAAAAAGTAAAGTATTCAGCAACGACTTTATATATATATATGTTAATTTGCGTATTAAAAGATTGAGGGGCAATATGAAATTCATCTATCCTTCTGCATTCAATAATCCAGAAGTGAAAAAAGAATTACATGGATTACATGATCAGTACGTACTGGTCCCTGCTGACAAAGCAGATAACAACATTGTCTTCGTTTGGAAGGCTCCATATATAAATTGTATTTTCGAAGAACTTTTAATTCTACAAGTGGTAATCAAACTTATACTAATAGTTCCCTTTCTAAGGAAGAAATTCTTCAAAATCATGTTATAAACTTCATAAAAATCCTTACAAAGGTACATAGCGGGTTCCGGTAAATGTTCAACCAAGCCTCCTTCTTCCTCACTAAGATATTGACAGTGGTGAAGGGAAAACTTCAAAAGTACTGAACAAAAATATATTCTAGAAGTGGTGTGAATCAGATGTGGATATTCAAAAATTCCAAATATCTTTTGGACAATTTGAAATCACAAGATTGTAGCAAAATCAATAGCTTAAAAACTTAAGAATTTTTTAATTTTACACACAACCATTCCCCATGATATATTAAAGTCCAGGCTTTTTGATATCATTAACAGCTGCTTTATAAAAATGAAACTCGTAAATTTACTTACCTCGTCATAGGTCAGTTGAAAAATTCTTTTATTAAAACATTGTGATTGTACACCCAAGTAGCCTGAAGTTGACATCAAAAAGATGCTTCAGTTTCTGATTGACAATATCTATGTGGTTTTTGGAGACCAGATCTTCCAACAATCTATTGGAATTCCCATGGGTACCAAATGCAACCCGTTACTAGCAGACCTATTTTTGTATTCATATGACAGAATTTGTACAAAATCCTATGCGATAAAAGAAGAAAACACTTGCTTGGCCTTCAACTCGACACTTCGATATATCGACGACATATTGTCATTTAACATGGTTATTTCCATTCTTGTGTCGATATGATATATGCTGGGGAGCTTGAGATGAAAGCTACCATAGAGTCTGACTTGGATATTTTACTTGAAAAAGACGTTAATGGTAATCTAACAACCAAGCTCTATGATAAACATGATGACTTTTCTATCGTCAACTTCCCTTACTTATGCAGCAATATATCTTTATCACCTGCATACGGAGTTTATATATCTCAGTTGATACGATACGCAATAGTATGCTCTATATGTGAACAATTTCTAAAGCGATGTAAATAATTGACAAACAAGTTGATGAAACAAGAGTATCAGCAGTCTCGTTTAAAGTCACTATTCGTAAGTTCAATGGTCGATACAATGATCTTGTCAGCAAGTACATGTGTACAATTTATCATTGAGTCAAATGCTGACTGACGTTTTTCATACTGTTTGTCAGTCCATTATTTATACACTGAATTGACGAAGTATTTTTCCGTTATTTCAAGATCATGACAAGGAGAACGGTGGGTGTGACCGGTCGGCAGGCAGGAGATGCTCACTCTTCAATGGCACCTGATCCCACCTCTGATGTTTTGGAGGTCCGTGTTTGCTCCGCTTCTATTTTTTACATTTATTGTTTTATGGACTTTGATATTGAATACTGTTCGTTATCCCCATATCCTTTATCTAATAGGGATAAATGCACAATGTCATGTACCCTGGACTTTGACTGCAAGTATGTATTGTTGTTTCCCTACAAAAATTGACTTTTGTCTTTCAAGTTATATATTTAATTATCATTATAAAATGATTCCCCTCATAGCTATCGATTGTTCCAATCATCAGTAAACTTCCCGGAGACAGAGTAAGGTCTCCAAGTGATAATTAAAGGGAGAAACCCTGAATAGCTGATGCAAACAATAAAATCCATTCTTCAAAAGTCTCCAAAGAGTTGTGTTTACTTAATTGTGTATAGTTTGTAGAATGTCTTCAAATGATTTCACAGATAAATCCATGAGGGGTTTCACAGCAGTCATCAGCCCATCTGCCATCTGTTCTTGTGATGGCGCAGTCCGCGTCGGACGAATTCGTCACACATTTGTTGTAGTAATCGTTGGGTTGACCAGGGTTCCAGTTAGAATATACCAGAGGATGCCCAGTGACCCACTTAAAGGTCCCTTCCGTCTCCCGGTCACTAAGGCCAATCCAAAATCGGATCACGCTGGATCCAAGGCCAGCTACAAGAAAAATACCCGGTTAACAATTAATCCCAAAATTGCATGTTTATTTTTAAAGAATGTGTTGTCTGACTTCTGAATGTTTCTAACTGATTAACTTAAGTTTCAATCATTTTTTTATGGTATATAGTTTTTTGATCCAGTGTGATTATAGTTCATGTTTAGTATATGCATGAACAGTTGTCAAAAATGGGTCGTTTTTTTTCTAGCATTTTAAGGATATACTCTTTTAATTATCTTTTCAAGAATTAATTATATCAAAAATATATATATATTTTTTAAAAATGGTGCATGACCACAACATGTGTGAATAGTTAAAAACAAATCCTGTAGGCTATTGTACTTCATCTCTCTAAGAACTTCATAAATATTGATTTAGTGTAACTTTCGTACTTATATGCAAATGATGGTAAAAATCATGTCAAATAGTTTGTTATCCTTACAGTTTATTAGTTCTGTGACCAGACTGGTTTTGTTTTCTGTATCTATGGACACTAGTGTGTTATTCTTACAGTTTATTAGTTGTTTGACCAGACTGGTTTTGTTTTCTGTATCAATTGACACTAGTTTATTATCTTTACAGTTTATTAGTTCTGTGACCAGACTGGTTTTGTTTTCTGTATCTATGGATACTAGTTTATTATCCTTACAGTTTATTAGCTGTGTGACCAGACTGGTTTTGTTTTCTGTATCAATTGACACTAGTTTATTATCCTTACAGTTTATTAGTTCTGTGACCAGACTGGTTTTGTTTTCTGTATCTATGGATACTAGTTTATTATCCTTACAGTTTATTAGTTCTGTGACCAGACTGGTTTTGTTTTCTGTATCTATGGACACTAGTGTGTTACAGTTTATTAGTTCTGTGACCAGACTGGTTTTGTTTTCTGTATCTATGGACGCTAGATTGTTATCCTTACAGTTTATTATTTGTGTGACCAGACTGGTTTTGTTTTCTGTATCTATTGACGCTAGATTGTTATACTTAAAGTTTATTATTTCTGTGACCAGACTGGTTTTTTTTTATTTATATATTGACACTAGATGTCCACCGTCACGTTGACAGAATACTTCCGCTGCCGTCCAGTTTAACACAGGGGCGTTAACGATCCTCAGACAAGACTGGGTCTTCTCATAAAATGTATACATACCATGTCGACAAACTGAAAGACGATCAGATTTTTTTCATTTTCTTTTTCTTTTCACTTTTTAAAAATAGTTTTCTTGCCTTCCCTTATTCATTTTAGCGCAATAAAATAAAACGTCGATTCTGAAATTACATTATTGAGATATTTTGTAAACATGTATAAAACAGTACAAAAATCTTTAAAAATACAGGATTTTTTTAATGAATAAAAAAAGAAAAGGAACAAATTTTGTGTGCTAAAATCCATCAGAAGCTTATTGAATTACAGTACATGTATATGTTTTCTCTAAAGTCCTTAACAACAAAGAATACTTACCAGTCTTTATACAGGTTGTTGTTTTTTTCAAAACTACACAAGACTCTTGTTGAAGACAACTATTTTGAACGCATTCTTTCATCAGAGCCTAAAAAAAATATATTTATTTTTAAAATAAAATATATGAATTATTGCGAATTTGATAAGAATTTTATCTGATTGTGTTTTAAAGGTTCCATTGAGTACCACAAAATTTTTTTATTGTACACATCCACTCCTACTCGACAACGTTAAGTCACTTAGAGATGAAAGGGCATTCAGAAAAAAATTCTTTATAAAGCAATGTCTTTCTGTTTATAATTATTTTCAAAACTTATTTCAAATTCATTTTCAATTGAATATATGTTATTCAAATATTCAAAACACTTTTCCATAATTTTTTTTATAGATTTCTCGAAATGTTAATAAACATACCGGTATTAATTCCTTTTTAACAAGCTATCATTTACCTATTTTCAAAACTACAAAAATATTTCAAAAACACAAAAGAAAATTAAAAAAAAAAGCGAACCTGAGTTCCTGTGATGTTGTTTATAAAAATGAAATCACTGTCACTGTGAAGGGATTCGGGGTCTAAATCCTGATTGATGTGATAACAAGTCAGTTGATTTCTATTATAATTCACAGATTGACAAAGTCCCTCGAGAAAACATGATCGAACACACTGTTGCAGTCCGAAAGGACTCAGTTGTGATAACACTGAAGTCACATTGGCCTTTCTTCCGTAATAAATATTCCCTGGTATTTTACCGTCCGTAAACAAAGGAAAAGTTTCAAACACATATATAAGAATAAAAAATACATTAAAACTCAGCATAATTTATCTCCTAAAAGGTTTTAGACACGCCACATTTGCTCTGGTAACGATTCCCAACCGTGGACACCCATATCTAGGGGTAATGGAACCTTCAGGAACTCCAGAATTGATTGACATGCAATTAGACTTTACGAAAATATCCAATAAGTTTGGCTATTGATCTAAATTTTAGAGCCATTACCATTATAGCAATCCACTTTGTTCTTTACTCTAAATATATGTTATGTATCTGAATGGGAAATTAGAATGTTTAACTTTTCATCTAGAATGTATTGCCCCAAAATAGATGTTATTAGTAATAAGGAGGAAATCAAGTCAAAAATAGGATAAAATATACTGCTAGTTGTGCTAATTAACCTGTTTATTGAGATTTTATGAACTTGTTTCAGAGTAAGCCATTGAGAACTCAGGAGTGACATATATCCAATAAAATATTAATGGACAAATCAATTCGATTATGGTAGCTAAATTAACACACATTTTATTGAATGTTCAGATTATAAACAGTTCGGAGTCAATTAAGTCTGGTTTTCTTCAGCGATGTGGAACATAGCTTGTTAATGAAAATGTAAAGGAGAATATTGATCACAAAAGTTAAAAAAAAATATTTCAAAGGCAACCGAACATCATGTGACAGCTCCCTCGTAATAAATACACGCCAAATACAAAGTTTCCATTATTTTTCTATTACGAACATTAGATCTAGACAAAATCATCATACTTAATTGGAAATAAGTTCGTTAAAAGGCCCACTTTTCGATGATCCAGAATACAATACTAGAACATGTTTTAAACTACTTTTGGAATGTCCAAAAATCCGTGATTTAGGGCTTGTCTGCTGGTTTTCATGTTTTATCTACCTATCAAATATTTCTTTATTTGCAAGGTCTGTCTGTGTCCGTCTGTCTTTTTGGTTGTCTATCACCCTCTTTATTTTTTCTTGTGTAAACACGTGCAACATGGGGCCTTAAGACCTTCTCATCTGAAGGACCGATTTCAATGTTCCGCAGTGGATCCGAACTTGTGATGTAAGGACCGTCTCCTTACTCTGCAATACTAAAGCAGATGCTCTAACAAAGTGATGTACCACTTTGCGGGAGATAAACAGATAATAATAAAATACAATTGCACTTTTTATTGTTTCTCTATTTTTTAACAATGAAATGACAGGGGATTCCAAGTCGTTCTTTTCACCTTATCTCACGTCTTATGTTTTTTATTCCTTGTTTTCTCTGCCTCGATTTGTATTGCTTAAATGGACTTTTGATGATGATAAGAGTTATCCTTATATTTTATGTAAGAGAAGATAAAACTCGGAAATCATCCTTCAAAAACCAATTAAACGATTATAGTGAAACAGCGCAAACAAGGACCATTGAAAAGGTGTGATCAGGTGAGAATGAGGATCCAGCAAGTATACGCTGTTGACTGTTCACCACGCCGTAATTCTGTTGCCTCCATCTTATAATGCGATATATATGAAGATTCGACATTAAAAAAATGACCTAACATTTTGAAAATCATTGATCAATGTACGGTCTAGCAAAACATAGAATTTTCCTGTAAAACTATATATTGGCCACAAATTTGTTAAATGTTAACCTCAACTAAATTAATGATAATGTTGTTTTATCAAACTATTTGTTAATAACCAGCACCAGCTTTTAAAAATTCTACTATATTGAACATGATCTTGCCTATCGATTCAGTTAGGAGAAACACCTCATATACAGATGATAATGGCATATTTTTAATATGGCTCTCTTCTTCATACAATGTTGTATAATAAAAACATGCAACAACTTTAATAATAGACAGTAACATAAATCTAAATCCTATGGTACGATATTTTTCAAATAAATGAAAAACATTTGTGGAGGTATCAGCATAAACTTAAATATGCAAACTATATGTTCATAATTTGTACAACACAATATGTTACAGTAGAAGTTTTATTTTAATTGTAACACTTTATTTCAGTAAATTCTGCATTAAGCGGACAAATTCAGTAAGTTCTAAAACGATAATTTAAATTGTATCTAATATTGGTTTTCAAGTTAAATAAGAAATATCTAATTACTATTTTAATAATAAACAGCTCCTTTAAGGAAAGTAATTTCTGTTTTGTCAGGAAAATTAAAAATATGTGAAAACTTGGCATATTACTAGATATCTAATAATCAATAAAATTGAAAGACTTAATTAAACATTCGTTTCACGGTTTGCTATGTCTAATTATCACATGTTTGACTATTGTATTTTTTGTTTTACTGTCACAATTTAACACATGTAGATGAAACTGTTTATAGAAATGTAAAATAAAACCCAGGCGATTAATATGAACAGTAACTACAAATACAATGTATTACCAAAAATGTACATCTCTTTTGCACAACAGTAACTTTTGACAAAATTATAGCGACTTTGAATTGACCATGATAAAAAAAAGTCAAAACCAAAATTTATTATTTCTCATACTACTATTTTACAAACATCATATACATTGTACTTTAAATTATTTTGTGAACTCGAGGAATTTGTTAAAACGTCCAATACAAATATGACAAGAATCAGTCCTACTAAAATGAACAAATTTCATTGAAACTTTCATTCATTGTTTGATGGTCATTTTCCATCATGCATGCACATTTGAACAGACAAATATCTCTCTATAGAGCTAACATTTATAAAATAATTGACAATGTACAGTTTCTATTTCACATATTTCCTATAAAGACTTCTAGGGAGCGTTTCGGACAATGAATGTAATTTAAACTCCGCGCGGCCGATATTTTCAAAAAATAAAATCCTGTAGGAAAGAAAAGTTGATTGATCAAACATAACCTAATATTCTTTAATTGTAGTGTTATTTAAAAAATTAGGTTTTATAGAAAAATATTTCATCTGCCATTCTACAGGATTGATATCAGCCTTTATCTGGTGATGCTATATTTCAGAATGTACTCTGAATAAATTCACAACATTGTCGCAATATCATTAAAAGGATGTTCAGTTTAAGGACAACTTTTGGAAAGTTAGCAATGGGACGCATGAAACATTTGCATACAGGCATTCCCGTTAAAAGCTGATGGTTCGTTTTTAGGGGTGACAATTGAAACGAACCATCAACTTCCTAATAGAGAATACTGCTGAGGTTGTTAATTGTTTATCTAAGGACACGATAAAACACCTATTAAATGTGTTGTTGTTGTTTTTTTGTAATATGAGGACAATATTCAGTATGAAGCATATTACTAGACAGAATATTTCACTACCAGATACACAGCTGGGGGATATATTTATAAGATAAGATAAGACAAATAATTTTATTTTCCAATTTTGGGCCCATAGGGCATAAAGGTTCTTTTTACAATGATTCTTTCAGAACAATAGAAAGTTCTGAAAGAAAGGTTAGTAAACATACACAAACATAAACACACACATGTGTATATCTTTTATAATATATAAAAACTGTACATGTAGATGCAGCAGTTGGGGTTATCAAATCGCTAATTGAACTGCAATCAAAATGGATATTATCAATATACATATATACTAATATATGAGTTTGAGGACAGAATAAGTTATAAATTTTAATACAGTTACGAGGATGGAACCCAAAATATAATTTCAGGTAAATTTCAAAGATATTCTTTTTGTCATGCTACCGTGCACTTTGAGGAAATGACATTTGAATAGTGAACATGGTTAATCAAAAAATTTGACGAGTTAGCTTGATTTTCTTGATCAACAGAATTCTTTATGTATCAGCATACTCGTTATAAAGTCATCATTTCGTAAGTTCTATGTTTGACAATACATTGACCTTGTCAAGAAAAAATTTATCTCATCTATATCAAAGGCAACCAAGACAGTCAAAATTCAGCTTTCCACTGAAAACTCTCTACCCCGGCCGCTCATTTCATACTAGGTGTTCCTTTGTAGATTTACATCCCCATATTTGTAACTCCTTCGAAATTAACAATAATTTCTTTGAATTTTGATTTGAATTTTAATAACTATATTTCTGACCTTGAGTACGTTTTAAACTTTTATGCACTTTTAAGATAGTTTCCAATATTTTGCATAAACTTTAAATATTGTTTCTTGTAGTTAATTTATCCAAACACCTGAACTCTGGTCACTCCAATCTCATTTGTTGATTGTTCCTCCTTACCAAATACATCTTCCGATAAGCAAGAAAGCAACTGTATTATAATGAATCGCATATTCTGGGATTGTTCATGTTAAAAAGTCACCCTAGTGGCCAGCATCTATGTGTATTTTTACAATCAATGAATTTGTTTTAGCTGATTGGACTTGTGTGTTTTGTGGGAGGGATGTTTGTGAAGTACGGATCTGACGACCTCAAATCCATGTTACCAGAGTTGATGAATGAACTCGTAAAGAAGGTAGAGCCAATCTTAAAAGGTATCAGAATGCAGTCAGAGTTTTAAAAATAATGTTCATATATATAAATGTTACAGATTAATTGACAGATTGAAATCTTACAAATTTATTTGTTGCAGCTACCCACAAATCATCGTCGGATTTTCTGGACAACCTTGACCTTGAGAAGTTGCTAGGCGACGCTGCTGTTGTTTTTATTGTGTTTGGTGCTATTTTGCTCTTTATTGTTTTCTGGGGTTGCTATGGTATCAGCTGCAAATCTAAGTGTGCCCTTTATATGGTAATATATACCTTATGTAATATTTATCTTAATATCGATAACCAACGAGGATTATTTTTATGCGCCCGAATCGATAGATCCAGGGCGTATATTGTTTTTGTCCTGTCTTTTTGTCTGTTTATCTGTTTGTCTGTCTGTTTGTTGTCAACTTTAACCTTCACCATAACTTACGAACCATAAGAGATAGAGATTTCATATTTGGTATGCATACTGCACTAATAAAGTTCTCTCAAATAACATCAAGGTCAAAGACCTTGTTACCTTGGCTGTGACCTATATGCTAAAAATAGCTTTTTCGACTTTTTGCCATAACTTTTGAACCATAGAAGATAGGGACTTCATATTTGGTATGCATTCTCCACTAATAAAGTTCTTTCAAATGACACTAAAGTTAATGACCTTATGACCTTGACCGTGACCTATATGCTAAAAATAGCTCTTTTCGAACTTTGTTGCCACCGGGCGCATAGTGTTTCACAAACACATCTTGTTTCATATGTAATACATACTACTAGTATTTCATTAGAATGATGATTTTAGTATTGTTTAGCGATCAATGTTCAACTTAATTTCATGATTTGTTTTGTATTTTTAAAATAGATAAAAATTCGCATTCATTACTTTTACAATTTTAGCAATGTGCATAAAATTTAGCTTCGAATATGATAATGCTAATCAGCAACAAATCGAGAGCTTTTTCTTAATTTATGGTAGTAGAAAAATACAATGTTAAGCGATTATCAAACATATACACGGGTAAGCAATACACAATATGAAGATAACGAACAATCAACCCACTAAACCAATATAAATTGGAGCAGAGAAAACAAGGACCTCTATTAACATCAATGGTGGATCAGAGGCCCGGGAGGAGTGAGCATCTCCCGTCGACACTTACATCTGCCCTGCCTCCATGTCATGATTCATATATTTATCAAACCTAGAATTTTTTCTGTTTCAGTTTCATTTTTGTGATACGTTTATTGCTGACCAACGACAATGTCTTGCTGCATTGTGGTAACATCAGCTTGTTTATTTTGTAGTATGGCTTACTGCTCGTCCTTATTTTGATTGGTCAAATTGTTTGTGCAGTACTGGTTACGCAGAAAAGAGACTTGGTAGTGATCAAATTATGTTCAAAAATTAAGGTTAAAACTTCATACATAAAGTAACAAATCCATTTTACATAATTAAGAAAGGGGATCCGGATTAATGAAATAGAATTTGATTGTACAGTAGTAACATTTATAATTTGCCTTTTTTGACTATCAGCATAAGTAATACGAGGGGTGATCAAAAAGTTCGCAAACTAATTGAATAACTTCCATACAAGAAACAATATTTGGTTTTAATGTTGATTATTTTTTAAATTAATCCTCTCCGATTTTAATGCACATCAACCACCGTTCTGCGCATGCGCGAATGACGTGATATTGGCGGTCACGTGACCCCCTCCGTAGCGTTCTGTCACAAAAGTTGAAAGATTTTTCCGAGTTTTATATTAATTTATTTTCTTTCCATGTGAGTTAATTTTTATGACAAGAACAGTTCATTTGTCAGAAATGGTCATATCTCGGCAACAGAATGGGTGGATAATAATATCCTTTCCAACAATAAGCATGGCGACCATTAAAACACAAATATTCTGTCTCAGGAGAGACCTTTATTCAAGGTGGATAGAGAATGGGTGCATCCTTTTTATCATATCTAATATGTTTAAAATCTAAAGTAAACGATATCTTAGGTATTCATACTTATATCATTGTTCAAATATTCAACTATTTTTCAAAGTGCTAATTGGAGGTCTTTCATAGCAAATTGCTTAATTAAAAATACATATCTTTTCAAACTTGCTTTTACTGTTCAAGATGACAAGTATCATTTTTAACCAGCCTTCCTTCACTAAAACGATTAATCCAATCATTAATTGAATTTATAGGAACTCATTTATCTCAATAAACTGTGTACAAATTATTATATGATACTGTAGAGGGATTTCTAAGATATACAATAAATTGTACAGTCGTTTGTTAAACGAGTTCGACTGAAACAACCATGCGTTTTTCGTCACAAGTGACCTAACTAGTGACGTCATTTTCACATTGTGACGTCACAAACAAATAGAAAAACTTTATTCAGCATATGCTATTTTTAGACCTTCTGTACGGCTGTGTGTGTACCGAATTTCATTCTAATCTGAATTGTGGTTTTGTAGATATAGAGATAGTTTGCCTTTTTGATCACCCCTCGTATTTACATGCTTGATTTCGCCAATCCACGTGCTCCAAGCCCTTCTTCTGTCTAGCTGTTTTTCCCGCCCTGCACGTGGTTTTTTTGGAACCACGCCAATACATTTAAAGTACATTTACAATTTGTAATTTTATCTCGGACAAAGACATTGGAAATGTAAATATTAGAATAAACACTTATCTCTTAGCATAAAACGGGTATCACTTTAACTCTCCACTGGAGTATCTTCTTATCCTTACCCTTAAACTGCTCTCTATCCTTTACCTGTACTAACTTACTTTGATTCTTACCCAACACCTTATCTTATACTGTGTAAACACTTACCCTAATACCGTAACTTCTTCTTCCCCCCAAATTTAAAGCTCACTTTTCCCCTCTATGCTATGCTAACTTCCTACTTTTATACTGTGTTAACTTCCTACCCTTAGACTGTGTTAACTTCCTACCTTTATACTGTGTTAACTTCCAACCTTTATACTGTG